AAAATAGGAAGGAGGAGAGAGAGAAGGAAATATAAAATAGGAAGGAGGGGAGGAGAGGGACGAGATAAACAGGAAGAATCACATCTGCCTTCTAGAAGGATCTGGGATATCCAACCATGACATTGTCCACCCTTTGCTTTCGCCTGGAAGATGCTGTTGGACATGACCAGAGTATGGAAACTGCAAAAATGCTTAGCTTAACTACCAGTATGTACAAACGAAGCAACACGCAGTTGAGTTTTCAGTTCCTCCTTTGCAAAATTTATCTCTCCCCATCCCCTGACTTGTAATCTCTACTGTTCTTTTCTCTCTTTCCACCCAATGGACTCAACCAAGTTTTTCCCAAGAGACTCACCTGGTCATTTAAGCCCACGTCCACCATCTGCATTTCACCAATCATCTCGATCCAGCTGGTGCCACAAGGATTGTAGGAGTTCACGCCACGCCTGAACCAGACCTAGATGAGAAAAAGCCTCAGTATATTTGATATATTTTGCACCAAAAAGCGTCAGGGACAGAGGTTTGGGGTTACTCTCCACCTGCCACCAAAACGAGCTCCTTAAAATCCTGTTATCGGGATAATGTTATGAGGAACAGCAATAGTCTCATCCCAGATTATTATTATTATTATTCTTCTTCTTCTTCTTCTTCTTCTTCTTCTTCTTCTTCTTCTTCTTCTTCTTCTTCTTCTTCTTCTTCTTCTTCTTCTTCTTCTTCTTCTTCTTCTTTTCTTCTTCTTCTCCTCCTCCTCCTCCTCCTCCTCCTCCTCTTCTTCTCCTTCTCCTTCCACTCTTCCACCACCTTCTCTTCTTCCTCCCCTTCCTCCTCCTTTTCCTTTCTTCTTCCCCTCCTCCTTCCTCCTCCACCTCCTCCTCTTCTTCTTCCTCCCCTTCCCCTTCCTCCTTCCTCTTCTTTTTCTTCTCCATCATTTAACGACCCCATAATCCCTTACGGGGTGGGCCGGGCAACTGAATAGAGCTAAGCAGAGTGTTTGGATGGCCAGATGCCCTTCCTGTCACCAATGTGGAGTTTTGTTCAGCAGATAACGGGCCACCTTTATTCAGGTAAACCTTTGTAGCTGATAAAACATCGGCCTTTTAAAATTCTCCTACAAACAGGACGAGGAACTTAAGTCAACCTATACAGCTCCAAATGCCGCTCACTTTTCTGTCTTTCGTGACCGCCCAGACCACATTCACCCCGACAGACACGTGGGAGATCCCATTCTCGGCAACCGGTGGGTCCACAATTGTCCACGACGTTCCTGCCCAGAGAGAAGAGGCAGAAATCAGTAGAAGGAATGACCCAAACTCCACGGCGGAGAAGCAACTTCCTTGGGCCACCAACGAACCTACCCTGCGGGTTGTTTCGGTCGATCCCTTCTCTCACGATCGCCTGCCCTTCCCAGCAGGTGGCCCAGAGGAGATCGTACGGTCCACAGCTGATCTGTATGGCTTCGCCCGGAGCAGGGATTAAGGTCCAGGAAGATCCTTCAGGATTGTGATGAGTGACATCGTTCCGATACCAGATCTAGGAAGACAAAAGCCGTTTTTCAGGCACGGTTGCTCAGAAGGAAGCAAACTTTTTTGTACATTTAAGAGAGAGAGAGAGAGACAGGATTTAAGTGACTTCTTATCTTGCACCAGGGATCAAAATCTGCAGGCCCTTCTTGATATTACTGTCGTAAATTTCATTTAGTAAATTTCATTACATTGATGGTTATCAGGTGGCCTTCATTTCCTCCGCGTGATGACCCGGGGCGTGGCACAAAGGCAACACAGTCAGATAAGCAATAATGGTCCCTTTGTTACCTCCAACTTGGCCCCCAATGTCCAGGTGACCTTCGGCTGGAGCAAAATCTAGAAGTTTAGAGCTCCTTCTGAACCCCCTTGCCTGCCTGTCACTCTTATTTATTTTATTTATTTATTTTATTTATCTTGCCGCCTAATTCGCCCGTGGCGACCCGAGGCGGCTTACACAAGGTAAAACCATATTTAAAACAAAAAATAAAAACAATAAAAAAATAAGAGAAAAATAAATAAGAGAAAATAGTTAAATAAGAGGAAAGGGGGAGGGGAAGGGGAGGAATTTCCACATAGCGCGTAGACATAATTAAGGAGCGACGAGGGGACATTACTTTGCCTTGTAGAGTGACCGTCCAGACCGAGAGTCGGCCCAGAGGTTCATCGGTGATCTCCCAGCCTCCCACGGAGATGTCATTAAAAGGATCGGGTAACTGCTTTAGGTCTTGATGGGGTGGAATCTATCTCAAAAAAGAGAGGAGAGAGACTTGGGAGTTACTTTGCTACTTTTGAAGGCCAGAAAAACAAAACATTCAGGATTCACATCCTTGCTCTCAACTCCACCTGATGGGACAGCCTCTACTCTGGAAACCTCACAGTCCGGGGTGGGCTACTACGGCTTCGGGCGATCTTCTAGCTAGGATTCTGCGCACTTTGGCGAACCAGGAAATCCCACCCGCTGGCTGGCCCCACCCACCCCACCCGCTGGCCCCGCCCCGCCCACCCCAACCCTCCCAGGAGTCCCCCCACATGGCCAGGTAAGTACAGGGCCTAGGCAGAGGCTCAGGGAGGGTGAAAAATGAGCCGCCCAGAAACTCCGGAAAGCTGGAAATGGACCGTTTCCGGCCTCCAAAGGGTCTCCGGATCCCAGGGGAGGACATTTTTGCCCTCCCGGAGGCTCGAGAAAAACCTCCGGAGCCCTGGGAGGGAGAAAACATTCCCCCACCAGTGCCATGGTGCAGGAGGCCGGCTAGGCCACGCCCACCATGGCCACGCCCACCCAGCAACCAGGCACAGAACCCTTTGCTAAAAATTTTTGAAGCCCACAGTACCTTCTAAAATGAGAGGTGGGGAGAGAGAGGAGAGAAGAAAGAGGAAGAGGAGAGAGAGGGGAGAGGGAGAGAGAGGGAGAGAGAGGGGAGAGTGAGAGAGAGGGAGAGAGGAGAGGGGGAGAGAGGGAGAGAGAGGAGAGGGGGGAGAGAGGGGAGAGAGAGGAGAGTGAGAGAGAGAAGAAAGAGGAAGAAGAGAGAGAGCGAGAGAGAGAGAGGAGAGGGAGAGAGAGGGGAGGGAGAGAGAGAGGAGAGCGAGAGAGAGGAAGAGAGAGGAGAGGGGGAGAGAGAAGAAAGAGGAAGAGGAGAGAGAGAGAGAGAGAGGATAGCGGGAGAGAGGAGGAGAGGGAGAGAGGGGAGGGAAAGAGAGCGAGAGAGAGGAGAGAGAGGGAGAGAGGAAGAAAGAGAGGAGAGAGAGAGAGGAGAGAGAGAGGGGGGGCGAGAGAGGAAGAGGAAAGAGAGGGAGAGAGGAGAGAGAGGGGAGGACGAGAGAGGGGGAGAGAGAGAGAGGAGAAAGAGAGGAGAGAGAAGCACACACCTTTGCCCAGGTGTCCCGTGCTTTGTACCTTCTGTACCGAATCCACCTTCTTCGTCGGACACAGGAATTCCATCGCTTGTCCTTGGTGTACGTAGCCGGGAAGTCAATGGCGTAAGTCCAGCCCTTCAAAAGAAGAACAAAGTGACTGAGGTAGAACACGATGAACCTGGGCGTGTGTGTGTGTGTGTGTGTGTGCGCGCGCGCACGTGTCAAGGCTGCAAAGAGCTCAAAGTACAGGCAGTCCTTGGCTTACAACCACAATCGAGCTCAAATTCCCAGAATTCCTCCTCCAGTCATGTTAGCTCAGGAATTCTGGGAGTTGAAGTTCACAAGTCTTAAATTTGCCCAGTGTGAAGACCCTTGTTGCAGACAATAAGGACTTCCTTTCCTTGCCCCAAGGATTTGAAAAACTGAACCAGAGAGAGTTGTGTGTCTTCTGCCAAAGCTGAGAAATCTTGGTACGCAGCTGGACTTTGGGGTGGGGGTGGCAACTTGAAGACAGATTCTCAAAAAAACAAACAAACCCAGAGCAAAAAGGAAAGGAAGAACCAATGAGTAGTCTGGTTCTTTCTAATTCCTCTCCGGACAAGTAGAGGACATGAGATTGCCCACAACTGCTCCAGACAGCGGCTCCTTGTCAGGAGACAACCAGACAGCAGCCTGCAGCAATTTTTTGAGCTCTGAAAGAGGAGCGAAAAGCCTCTTTGATCAAAGTCATAGTCAGCAAAAAAAAAAAAAAAAGAGGATGTCTTAAAAGGGATATACAAATAACAAATTAAGACAATAACCCATGTCATTTTTCTAAATTGGATTTACAAAATAGGCTTGTTAAAGCTTTGGATAATTTTGTGAGAGAAGGGACAAGGGCACTTTCCCAGAAATTTATTATTAAATGTATTATTACTACAGGGAACAAGAAAAACACCTGCATTTCCCAGCAATTGACATTATCAGTGAGATGAACATAGAAAGTAGCATTTCCCCCCAGCAATTCTTGATTAATATATGTAGTTCTTGACTTACAACCACAACTGAGCCCAAAATTTTGAGCCCAACGTTTCTGTTGATAAGTGAGACAGTAGTTCAGCGAATTTTGCTCCATTTTACAACCTTTCTTGCCACAGTTGTTAAGGGAATCCTTGCAGTTGTTAAAAGTTAGTGACCCGGTTGTTAAGTGAATCTGGCTCCCCCACTGACTTCGCTTTTGAGTAGGTCGCAAAAGGGGATCACGCATGACCCTGGCACGTTGCAACCGTCACAAATACGAGCCAGCTGCCAAGCACCTGAATTTTGATTATGGGACCATGGGAATGCTCCAAAGGTGGTAAATATGAAAAAACAGTCCTACGTTAGCTTTTTTCAGTTCAAATGGTCACTAAATGAACAGTTGGCTGTAAGTCGAGGACTACCAGTGTACTGGGAAATGAAAAAGGAGTCACATTTTCCCCACAATTCACATTATCAGAGGTATTTAGACCCTGATCTAATTTTCAATCAATCAGAATAGAGCTGGAAGGGGTCTTGAAGGTCTTCTAGTCCAACCCCCAGCTTAAGCAGGAGACCCTAAGACCCATGATGGCGAACCTATGGCACGCATGCCACAGGTAGCACACAGTGCCATTTGTGCCAGCACGCAAGCTGCAGGCAAACTTCTTACTGGACATGCGTGTGCTTCACAGCTGATTTTCAGCCGGTTTGAAGCCTTTGTCGGCCTCTCAAAGACTTGAGGAAGGCTTCTGCAGGCCGAAAACTAGGCCCGTTTCATCACTTCCTGTTTTTCTGAAAATACCGGAAGTGACAAAATGGGCCTAGTTTTCAGCCTGCAAAGCCCACAGAAGCCTTCCTCAAGCCTTTGGGAGGCCCAAAGGCCTCAAACCGGCTGAAAATCAGCTATGAGGTGCAGTGCAGGTAAGGGGTGGATGGGGTGGGGATTACGTGTGCATGCATAGGGGGTGTGGGGCGGGGCGCGCATTGCCTTTTGGGTGCTGGCACGTGAGCCCCAAAAGGTTAGCCAACACTGCCCTGGACCATTTCAGAGAAGTGACTTCTTCTTAAAAACCTCCAGTGATGGAGCATCAACAATTTCTGGAAGCAAACTGATTTACTTTTCTAACTGTCATAAATTTTTTTTCTCTTTATTTCTAGGTTGCTTCTCTCCTTGGTTAGTTCCCATCCGTTGTTTCTTGTCCTGCCCACAGGTGCTTTGGAAAATAGGTTAACCCCCCTTTGGAAAACTGAAGTATAATTTAACAGTAATGTTATCTTATAATTGACTATTACAGAATGACTTTTAATATAAATTAAAATTGGTAAGAACCGAGATTTGCTCTAAAGGATAATGTGGATTTGAAACTAAGATCTAATGATGGTGTAATAATAATGTAAGATGACATGGACGGTTGATTAATGTAATAGGAACGTAAATTTAAACTTAAGGAAAGACTATACATATTGCGCACAAGAATTGTGTACCAACCGACACACTGCACAATTGAAAGGTGGTTTTATTGTGTTGTTTTATGTTTGCATTTGTCTATGTTTGTTGTTAAAGCAGTCTTCCGGTATTTGAGGGGCTGCCCCCAAGAAGTGGGAGTCAAGCTATTCTCCAAAGCACCTGAAGGCAGGACAAGTGGGTAGAAGCAACCTGGAACTAAGGAGAAGTTAGTGCGGACAATCAACCAGTGGCACAGATCCAACTTTCTCAGGCCCACATTCCCTTTTAACGCGGCTTTCCCCCGAGACGGCGGATCCCATACGGTTCACCTACCCCTTTCTCTGTGGCTTCCCCTCCAAAATTTTCATCCACGTACCAGTCAGACTCCCACTCCCAGTGAGGAGAGGGCAGCGCAAAGCTTTCCAGCTGCTGGTGCTTCAGCCCACTCACGTCACTCCATGGCCAGCGGTCGCTGGGCAGCAGACTGTTGCAAAAACCCACCACCGGGTTCCAGCGCTGGCAGGGAAGGCAAAAGAAGAAACAGTCACGCATCCCAAATGACCTCATCCTTTCCCCCCACGCCCCCACCCTCACCCCAGATGTACTCAGGACGCTATTCCCAGGCTGGGGGAAGATGGGCTATGCTGGGTGTTGGCAACCCACGGCTCTAGAGCCACATGCGGCTGGAGAATTCTGGGAGTTGAAGTCCACAAGTCTTAAAAGTGGTCAAGTTTGGGGACCTCTGATTTAGAGGCTACTTTCTGACTCTACGAGCCATCAATCAGGGGAACAGGCTGCCACTTGAAGTGGAAATTCTCCTAAACAGAGGAGATCTTCCAGCTGGAGGCTTGAAAATCCTTTAGCAGAGTCTGCACCGAGCACAAAAAAGGGTTGGGTTGGATGACCCCTGAGAACCCTTCTGGGTCTCTGTGCTCTCCGTACCTGATTCTCATAGGTTTCCTCTTTGAATCGGATGGGGACGTCGCTGGAGTGGACGTAAACGTAGATCTGATGATCGCAAGCGAGCCCCCAACAGCATTGTTTGACGGCCGAAACTCGCTTCACTTCCAGTTCTCCATCCTTGCACAGCTCCCAGTACTGGCCGGTGGTGGATAAGGTGTACACTCTTCCAAAAATATCCACAGCCCACAGGAGCGACTGGGAGCCGCTCATGGCTGCAAAATACAAGGGGCAGAGGTGGGTAAGGGGGATTTACCCTTTAATTGCATGATACATGGAAAGACTTCACTCTCATTTCAGCCAAGAAACTGTGAACATTGCAGATGAAGCCAAGTCCAAAAAAAAAAGCTAGCAGATTCTTGGAAGCCTCAGACAAATTAGCCATCAACAGGTACAGAGAGGTAAATGATGTTTACGCACTGTTCAAAAAAGCAAAAAAAAAAAGGCCAAAAGGCCTCCTTTCCAGCACTCAACACCCACATAAACAGAGATTAACATCAAGGTTAATACCTGACCAACAATTAAGACTCCAACCAGGGAACTACGGACTCAGATAAATACTACACAACATTAAAATTGATGCTACCTAGTATGGGTAGTGAAACATCTGCAAGAAAACCCTAGACCCTCTTTCAACCCTGAGTTACAAATATTCTCCTTTACTGAAATAATAAACAATAATATAATCAAGCAACCAGCATGAATACGAGTGCAGATACCGACAAGGCAAGCTTTGTATATAAACAGAGAACAACCTCACTTCCTTGAAGCACTGATGATGTTACTTAATTGGGTCATGAAACGTCTGCAAGAAAACCACCAAGCCCAGAGAGCACCAAGGACCTCATAGTCTTCCTCCTCCTCCTCCTTCTCCCACTCCTTTCTAGTACTGATGATGTTATCTAGTTGGGTCACGAAAGGTCTGCAAGAAAACCACCAAGCTCAGAGAGCACCAAGGACCTCACGGTTCAACCTTACGCTACTGCAGGAAGTTAGCACCCACCCCACTCCTAGAAAATTGAAATATCCTAGGAAATATTAAAAAGGCAGAATATTTCCCCTAAAAAGAGTAGAAACTCAGAAGCAGAAACTCACCACAGAAGCAGAAAGTCACCCCCACCTTTGTTAACGGGTGGGCCATTAAGGCCTGGGCCAGAATACTTTACATAACAAAGATCTCCATGGGAGTTAAATAGCAGGGTTTTCCACCAAGTCAGCTTGTACAGGTCAACAGAATGGAACACAATGAAAGCCCTCCCCGATTTCTTAAATAACACTCATTTATTATCTGTTAAAACATTGTTTTGATTGATCACCTTGGCAACCCCCCCTCTCTCTATTCAGGATCCAGGCTGCACTCCGGGATTAGATTCTTTTTTTTTTCTCTCTGTAAATCGCATTTACAGGAAAGCCGGATCTAGGGCCCCGCCCCGCCCCTTTCCTCCCCTTCAATGCAACTGGACCGACTCCAGAATAAACCAAAGCCAGGATGTCACTCCCAGAGACGCAGCTGGAGGAGCCTTTTCAACGGAAGCCAGTCATTGTAAAGGGGTTTGCGGGGTTCAGATGAGGGTGGGGGGGAGGCAAGGAGGGGGAGGCATATTTTTCTTTTATGGACAGGGGGAGCATTTGCACCGAAGACAAATTCCTTGCGTGTCCAATCACACTTGGCCAATAAAAGAATTCTATCCTCTTCCATTCCATTCCCTATTTTATTCCCTATTCTCTTCCATTCCATTCCTTATTATATTCCCTATTCTATTCTTTCCATTCCATTCCATTTTATTCCCTATT